AGTTGTCTCACTTACCAAAATTAGAAAAATGAGAGAACAGCGATGATGTGAATCGTGTTAATAAGTTTCTGAGCACGATATTAGTAATTCAACTTTTATGATACTGAGATTTTTGCAAAACTCCGCACTGCTTGCGTTTGCGGTGGGGAACGAACTCGCGATTACCTTTTCCGGGGACTAATGCGTTCACTACCACACTATGCGGGTCCTCCCCTTCGTCTGTCTCTCAGCTGGTTCTAACGATCGCGGCCATCAGCAATCACCCGTCAGCGGGACTAATCTGAGAAGCTCAAATCGGCAATGAAGCCAGTTAAGCTGAGGCTGTATTTATAATCACAATCTTAACCTGACAGGATATGTTGCGAAATATAGCTTCTATGATGCTGAGATATTTGCAAAACTCTGAACCTTAGGTGTTTGTGGTGGGGAATGAACACGTTATTGCTCTTTCTGGGGGTTAACTGGGTTCATTGCCGATTGGGGCTTCCCAGATCAATATCGCTGACGAGTGATCGCTGATAGCGGTGATCGATAGAACTAGCTGAGAAACCGGCGAAGCGAAGGACCCGCATGGAGTGGTGGTGAACGCGTCAACCACCGGAAAGGGTAATAGCGCGTTCGTTCCCCATCGCAAACAATTGTGGTCCAGACTTTCGCAAGTATCTCAGCATCATAGAAGTTATATTTCGCAACATACCTTGCCATTAAAAAAGTATGTAGTAAATAAAAAGGTTAGGATTTGTAATTTAGTTAGTTTCCACTTACATTCTTCTGGATGTAGAGATTTTGCTAAGTATCTGCAAATGGAAAGCGTTTGGCAAATGATGAGCTTACCATTGTCCACCACTAAATACGGTAGTTGACCCATTGGTGCGTCTGAAACTAGTCCACATTATCATATAAAGTCTTACTAATGAGCTTACACATAATTATTAGCACTTATTTTGCATTCTCCAAGAGAATGCAAACGGTCTCCAGGACGACCACCTACACGTTGGGCGGACCTGTTCGTAAACAAAGTTAATCAGCTGTACTCGTAACTACAGTTGTTTTGCAGATCTCGGTATGAGACTTGCATACGCCACCATGCTTGAACAAGAACACCACCATTGACTACGATTGCGAGAGAAAGGAACGAATGGCATATATGCTGGGGTTCGCACAACTCGTGAAGACGGACCATCTAAGTATCCAACTAAGTAAGTATTTTGATTTTCTTCGTATTTTTGTTGAGCAAACGCGAGGTGTTACTATTCTTTGTTCACGATTAAGCTGACGTTTCGGCGGATTTCGCCTTCTTCAGAGCCTGGAAAGGTCAAGTTGATAGCAATCCACTCGGCCAGACGCCTCCATAACCAAACAAAGAAACTCCAAACCAAGATTTCAATCACACTGAACACAGCTTTGCACACTCACCGCTTTCTATGAGGTCTCCACTAGTATGTCACGTAGAGGCCAACTGCACAGAAACCACATGGAAGTGTAATGTGCCTCTCCCATCAGAATAGCAGTATTATATACTGCTCTATATCACGCGTGTTAATGAGGCATTCTTCCCTGCGGTTCATTTTCGGATTTCTGGAATTAATCCAGAGTGCCTTGAGAGTTTTTCGCGCCTGTGTTTTTGATTCGCGTGCGAGGATCGTGACACATACTTCAAAGTCGTCCCCGTTATGTCTCTGGGTCCAATGCGGGCCTAGCGGGGTATTTGGTCTATTTTTGCCGGCTAGGTGTTCTTTCATGCGGACAAAGAGGGGTCTACCCGTTTCACCAATGTATTCGTCACCACACGTCTTACAGGAGATCAGATAAACTATACCCGAGCTCATGCAATCACCGTCTCTACCACTGGGGCAAATTATGCAATTTTGAGTTGCACATAGACGGTCATATAGGCGGTTACGAACTAGCTGGCGTTTAAGATTACTCGGTGGTATTTCAACTACGCTCACCGAATTCTCTAAGCCCGCCCTTCTTAAGCAGCGTTTTATAGCTGTACTTATATCATTTGAGATGAAGCGTAGGATAAACGGGACCCTTCTATCGCTAGAGTTGTCGTTTGAAGTATTTTGATGTTCGATGGCTAACGTTTCAGCCACTTTCTCTTTTTCAGAGTTGTTTTCGTTCTCAAACAGTGAGCCGAGCTGTATATTGTTCACAGTGGAAGATGAGCAGTAGTAAAAGTGCACACATTGTTACAGGCAACGCTCTCATACAGTTCTCGCTTACGTGTGAAAACGGAAGCTCATGAAACACGCCAGATTAGTTGGCATATCACCTGTAGATAATGCTCAGCATTAGATAGGTCATGTTTTCAATCGCCTCATACACTTTCCTTGCAGTGGCCGTAAATATTTAATATTCTATGCAACAGTCATCGCTTGTACTACTTCCTGTAAAGCCAACGCGGAAACGCAATGCAGTTGTTTTTACACAAGGACTGCATGATTGCCGTAACACTGACTTAGGAAGGTCTCTGCAACATCTCCACACTCCAGATTGCAGAGAAAGATTTCCAACCTCCTTAGATATTGCATGGGACTTTCTATTTCTCACTCTTTTCTATTCCCTTTAATTACTTCTTTTTAAATTCTTGTATCAGAATGAGATAAGCTATTCTTTTTACAAGGGCTCTTATGACACAATGGCTAGAGGTGCCCTGCTTTATATACATGGCTCCTGGTTCAATTTCGCGATTCGAGCTCGCCAAGCGTTTCGTTCTCCCGGTGTCGGAAAATTGGTGAAGGAGATGTCTGGGAGGATAGTAGCACTAACATGATATATCGGTAGGACAATTCAGGTCACCGTATAAGCTAGATATGCATTCAGTCGCCTCAGACGGTGCTTCGTGATGTCGAATGCGTGAAAAGTCCTTGTGGGTTGATCAACACTGAACGCTTTATTCCTTTCATCTGGGCCTTCTTCTCAGCGCTATAGGTTTTGTCACGCTATTGTTGCTCCACTATGTAAAAATTTAGTTACATACGTTCGCCCTTTGAAAATATGGCGCTCCTTTTTCTCTAACTCTACATCCCTAGGTGGAAGAAATGAGACAAGCTGAAAAAGCCACCATGTCTGACGGACCAGCTGAGTTAAAATAACTCGCTTTGAGGCGTAGAAGGCATATACAGCTGGGGTATCTTTCTGTGCTGTGTCAAATTGACTTAGGCTTTCAGTTGAACGTAATGATATTCGTGTGCGTAGATTTGAAGGTCACCAACTATGCAAAAATATATAACAGTAGTGAAATAATTTTATTTCATTTGATCCGTCCTCGCGTCTACTTTGCGGATCCCAGCACTTCTCACATTCAATCTCTTTCCTCGCATCCATTGTCCACGAAGATTTTCCATCTTTTACGTGTGACGTCGGTTGCTGCTTGAGGATTTCCATTTCGAGATAACTGGGCTGGAGCGTTCCCAATTAGATTGCAGAGAGTGATTTTTTTCCAGACAAGTCCTGTACCAGTGGAAGGCCCTTTATAAATAGAGTTAAGGGTGAGATGCGTGACATTTATCCGAATCAGGAACTCTTCCAACCCGAATTGTTTATTACCCTTCTAGGAGTTTCCGATTTTCTATTCCTAAATCACGTTTCGTACCATGATTAGAGTTAAATCTGTAATGGTTAGCACGTGATGAAAGTCGTAGAGATTGGTAAAGCAGATTCAACCCTTTAAGGTTATTTATTTGGATCTCCTTGTCACTCTTGCTTCCCAGATTACCGCCGAGAATTTCTAAGCCATAAAAATATTTTAAAATTTCCTTAGGGTTTTTTTTATAGCAGTTTAGCTTTGGTATATGGAATGCTTGAAAAACTCCAATTTGTAAAGTGCTTCCAAGAATTGATGACTTTCAGCGAATAGTCTCCTACTCAATCAACGTTTTGGTTTCGATCCTAGCACCAGCTGTGAAATAAGAAACAAGTTATTCCCACAAATTTATGCCTTTGATCTTTTTTTCATCAACTTCTTACCATCGTTATTGGAACGGTTTGACAAGCCGATACCACATCGTCAGGGCTCTTTACTACGCAATGCAGTGGACATTAGAGACACTCGATTAGAAGGAGAAGGTTTTTCGCACTGTTGAGAAATCGCTGTTGAGCTTCCGTTTTGTTGCTGACATCATCATCATTTCGAGAGGTTTAATAACAGAGAGCGAGGTTGGAAGCGGAGGTGGAACGATGCCCAAAATGCGCAACGAAGAGGGAAAACAGAAGGACTGCACGTAATTTGGAAGAAAACTCAGTCCATGGAAAACCAATCACGCGAAGGTAAACATGGTAAAGGATCAGTCGCTGATTGCATAGACGCCTACATCTAGATGAGCTGTTCACTGAACATGCAGAACAGCATGAAAGAGGATCTATAGGTAAGAAGCAGAGCAGCGTAGTCTACTTTCAGGTCTGCAGAAAAACCAGAGATCCACAAATAAACTTAGAACTTCACGCTTATTTTTCGATTCAGCGATAGTTCCAGCAGATTGCTATGCAATTGACCCCTCAACAACATCGAGGTATTTTATGTCCATTACAATATCGCACTAGAAGTGGAATGGAAGACGATGCAAGGGTGTTCTGGAACGTCCATTTAAAATATGAAGGATATTTCTGTGTTTCACATCAAAAAGGTGTGTTCACAGCTGCAAAGCCACTTTCTGCACTCCCATCTGCAAACTATTTCTGGGTTTTGGAATAGTATCTGTTGACGTCAGCATTATGGAGTGAGACCACCACCACTATCATTAGTCGTTAGGAAGGAAGCAAGTGAAAAATTCTGGTGCTTGTCAAACTCATGAAAATCGCGGATGATCTCTGTTCTGCGACTCTGTGCGACCGGTGTCCATCAATAATTGGGAGACCTCACGTGTATTATCCGTTATCTCATTGATTGTGGAGTGACCGAACAGGCGGCAGTAAATCTTCCACTTCTTTCTGTCGCGTATACGCATAGCCCGATGGGTTCTCCTCGCTCTGAAAGATCGTTGACCGTTATATCTTCCTTCTAGTTTTTTCGTAAAAAACCCTAACCATTGGGTCGATAGTCTTCGTGCAGTACGTTTGACATCCCGAGGAATCCAGCCACAAACGGCTCTTATCCATCGGTTGTCGTTCACACGCACTACGGGCCGCGCCACCTTATCTTCGACAATTTACCTTATAGAACGGCGTCTTTCAATTTAAGCGTTCACGCAGGTCGGAACCTGGGATCCCTTTCTCACTGTCGTAATATGGGAGACTCCTAGTACTGTTTTTTCGACTGTACGTTCTACAACGTTGAGTGATCTTTTTCCTCCTTACGTGGCGACCAGGTTTCTCACAAATATATTCAGGTAGAAAGAATCGTGGAGTCGAAAAGGTGTGCACGGAGTCCGGTGTTCTTTGCTCTCTTCACTATATATTCGATGATTTGCTGATTTCGTGGCCTAGATTGACGTGGCTGGAGCATCCGTAGATATTCGTACCGTTAAGATTGAATGGGGCATGGGAAACCAATCCGTTCCTCACGAAGATCGTTGCTGTGAGGTTTAGTCGGAAGCTGGTCTTTCCACAAGCGTTATCAAACTCAATAAACATTTGCTTCCCTCGCTTATGGTTGTCACTAGATGTTATCAGCAAAGTGAAGATTACCGACCGTTGACTTTCACTCTTATTTTGTCCTCTTTCGACGTTAACATGACGCTCGCGAAGGTGGCGGTAAATAACTTCAACGAGATGGTATCGCCATTCTTAATCTCTTTTGAAGTTGATGTTAATATCGCTGTACAATGGTGATATTTGTGGTCGTGAAAGTTCTGTACAATTCACAAAGAATCTTTATGTACTGACTAGGGATACCTTGGCTGCCGAGGACTTCTGTGAGTGTTCCTATTTCAGTTGAGTCAAGAGCAAGTTAACTTTTTATTTGCTGCTTATTAAAATCTTTTAGGTGGCGGATAGCATAGTGGTAGTGATGTCTGTCATCACGAGCATGGTGCCAGTTCGATTCCGCTCGGGGCCAACCAAGACTCTCATCTCTTAGAGGTCGGGAAATTGATACCGGACTTATCTGGGAAAAAAACACTCTCTGTAATCCAGTTGGAAACGCTCCATCCCGGCTATCTCGGGACTCCAGGGAGAATTGCTCGATCAGCGTTCTACGACGACATTCAAGATGAAATGAAATACTCAAGCAGCAACCGAAGCTGCACGTAAAAAAGTCGAAAGATCTTCGCATACAATGGATGCACTGAAACGAATCGAATGTAAGAAATGCTGGGATCCGCTCAGTAGACGTGAAGACGGATCATATAAAATATAAAATAGAGGAAAACAATTTTTCACGGTAGCGTATTATGTGTGATACAAACGCAATGACGCTGAGATAATTGCAAAACTCCGAAGCGCAGGTGTCTGCGGCGAGGAACGAACGCGCTATTACCCATTCCGGGGACTAACGGGTTCGCCATCACACCATGCGGGTTCTTCGTTTCGCCTGTCTTACATAAATGTTTATAAACATAAATATACAAAACTTATTATAAGCCATATATGGCTCATGTTGCGTTAACTTGTTGGAAGAATAAATTGGTAGAGCGGTTCATGAAATAAACACTGTAGACTGTGAATTTGAATAGTCTGCAACGAAACGCCTAAACTCGACGGATTATCCTCTCTCATCGATCATGAACCATCAGTCATAACAGTTTTGAGTTCAACTTTCTTTTTGAATTTCATGGCTCAGTACTACAACCGATGGTATGCCTTGGTTCCCACCAAACAATCTCCGAGCTTCTCTACAACGTTGTGAAAAGAAAGTATTTATGCAGTGTGCTTAACCTGACGAAGTTTGTAGAAGAATAGATCGTTTTGTAGATGCTTTACAGCTAAGCCTGGCCTCAAACGTGGGCGCATAAATGACAAGCAAAGGTTGTTAGATACTGTCGAGAATGGCTGGAAAGTAAAAGGAAAATGGTTTGCAAGAAAGTCTTTGTTCTGTCACCGTTAATCGACTTTATATAAAGCAAGAGTGTTCTTGGACGTTGCTACAGGCTACTGTTACACCTCAATCCAAAAGGAAAGAGATCTGGGAGAAAGCCTTGTATTGGCCACAATGATCTAGCCTCTGATTGTGGAAAGTGAATGTTCTTAAGATACCTTTGGGTATGACTGTTGTAGTGCAAACGGAAAGGAAAATGAAAGGAATCAGAACGTAGAAAAGTTGTCAGATAAATGGCTACCTTTGGCTGTGAAACTTCAATTTTTATTAACTGCCTGTCCTTTCTCCATATCAAGGCACAATGTGAAGCACGGCCACAAGAATGCTAAGATATGAGCAAAAACTCGGAACCCCAGATGGGCTTCGAACTTACGGTTACTCTCGCCTGGGACTCACGTGACCTCCACCAGACCAACCTAGGTACTTGCCTTGCCTTTCTCTCCGCAAGGCAGGTTCACCTATTGGTGTGGTTGATAGCACGTGAGCCCATGGCAAAGGTAATCACAGGTTCAAAGCTCATCTGAGGCACCAAGTTTTGCTCACATCTCAGCATTTTTGCGGTTGATATTTCTTTTGCTTGCGTTTAGCAGCAATTTTTCCACATCTTTCTTTATTATGTGATTTGCCACCTCATTGCTGGGGGGTGCTCCTAACCACATAGCTGCTATCTAGAATCGAATTTTAGCCCATATGAATCTTCTAACACGAGAGAGAGAGAGAAAGGGAGAGATAATTCGTCAGAATAGTCGGACAAGAGGCAACCTAAGGCGCGACACTTCGACACTGCCCAGTGAACTACTTATGGTTACCCTCTTGACAAAAACAATAAAAAGGTTACATCGTTTTAAAACTGTTCCACTCTTCATGTCTCCTTGGAAATCAGCGTTGATTAAGCAGATTTTACCTGAGCTTCAGGTGTGAAGAGTTTGCTGATGTTCATAGAACGACTCAAGATTGATGTGATTACAAATGACCTGATCTCACTTTGCCAAAAACTATATCCATTGGCACCAACTTTTACACTTACTATTCGCTTAACATATCCATGTATTCAGTGAAAAGAGCTTTAGTGGCAGTGCTTCTGGTATTGTTGGTGAAGACGACGTTTGTGCTGACCAGTTGGCATGTGTAGCAAGTGGTACATCTTTTGGGAAGTTCCAGAAACAGCTCGAAATGAATCTGTGGTAGGAAATACATTATCTTTAAAGAAATTTAATCGAAAGCAGGCGAGCGACCTTCCGAATATGGAACAGTGACTGCTACGATGACATCTCAAGATCCGAGAAAGAAAGAAAAAATCTTCCCACCCAACATCATAAGTGCAATCGAGAAATTATACTAGAATCCGGACGATTTTTTACAAAGACAGTTACCGAGTAAGCTGATACTGATTAGATTACGGTTTCAATCAAAGCGCTCTTTGTTTTCTTGTCATTGTATTCCTTTAGAAAATCCTCTGTGATTACAAAGATTTGACGTAGTGTAAGAAGTGAAGTAACATCTATCCTTGGTCACGCATGCTTTTTTTGGAAATAATCTTTTTAATCTTTTCGATTTCTAGATCATTTTTCCCAGATGAATCCCGTTGCCGGGTGATCGCCTATGGCGCCGATCGTGGTTCGATCTAGCGTGGGATCAACGTTTTGCTAGTATCTGAGCATCGCTGTGGTTCCATTTCACATAAAATGTCCTGCCGGAAAAAGTTACAGTGGGTGGTAAATAAAAGGTTAATTAACCTTTCATTTATAATCTTCGGAAGATCGTTCTTTTTGTCAGCGAAAGTAAAGTAGGTTCGGAAAATTGCCGATAGAGTTAAACATCATTCACATAGCACATTGCAAACAAAAAACCGTTGCAATCGTTGTATAAAATAAATCTATTTAAGCTGTTGCTGACTTTTCACTGTGGTGCTGAACACAATCAAGCTATTATCTCAGCCAAACATTCAGACGACCTCCATCGAAATGCAAGAGATATCAACCGAATAAAAGTTGTATAACGAACTCGTATGGGCTAAGCATTCTAAAGAAACACATTGATTGTTCACGCCGAGGTTAGGTGAAAGTCACTTCAGTAATGTTTTCTGTCTTGAGATTTTTCTACTTAGGCTATGAAAGTGATTAGTTGAATAGAGATGGAATTCCAATTTCACCTTTCCAGGCTCCGAGGAAGGTGAAACTGCCGTAACGTCAGCCACTATTGGATTCATTACCTCTCCTCTCATCCCTCTCACACGAAAAGGGAGCTTGTGAGAAACATGTATCGAACGTGCTCAGCGTGTGCTCAGGGAGTCAACAGAGAGCGGAGCCCCCGAACTTGGCGCGGCAAATAGCCATTTTTAATGGCTACGAAACCGTAGCTCCAGATAGGTGTAGAGGAAACCACAGGTACCGCAACGATAACTCTAGCGACAACAAGGTCCCGTTTATACTGCCCTTTATTTCAAATGAAATAAGTGCAGCTATAAAACGCTGTTTAAGAAGGACCAGTCGAGAGAATTCGGTAACGATAATCGAAATACCACCGAATAATCTAAGGCGCCAGCTAGTTCGTAACCGCCTATACGACCGTCTACGCGCAACGCAAAATTGCATAATTTGCACCTAAGGTAGAGACGGTGACTGCATGAGTTCGGGTACAGTCTATCTGATCTCTTGTAAAGCGTGCGGGGACGAATACGTTGGCGAAACGGGTAGACCACTCTGCGTACGTATAAAAGAACACCTAGCCGGCAAATGTAAGCTAAGTACTCCACTAGGTACGCATAGCACGCAGAAACATAACGGAGAAGATTTTGAAGTAAGGGTTACGATCCTCGCGCAAGAATCGAGAACACAAGCGCGCAATACTCTAGAGGCATTCTGGATTAATTCTAAGAATCCGAAAATGAACCGCAGGAAGGAATGCCTTGTTATCATGCGTGATATTGGACAGTATATAAACCTGTTATTCTGATGGGAGAGGCACATTACGCTTCCATGTGAATTCTGTGCGGTCGTTCTTCACGCGACATACTCAGTGGAAGACTCATAGAAATCGGTGAGTGTGCAGAGCTATGCTAAATGTGATTGAAATCTTGGTTTAGAGTTTTCTCTGTTTGGTTATGGAGGTGTTTGGCCGAGTGGACTGCTGTCAACTTGACCCTTCCAGGCTCTGAGGAAGGCGAAATCCGCCGAAACGTCAGCTTGTGCGTAAATAAAGAAATAAAATAGCACCTCGTGTTTGCTGAACAGAAGTAGAAAGATACTATTGAATTAATTTTGTTATTGACAATTTTGTGTCTGCTCGAGAATAAAATGCTGAATTCCTAATCAGTAGGATGCAAAGCATTGAAATCTAAGCCTTTTTGAGAAAAAGACTAGAGTTTCCCGGATCGACTTTCCGTTAATCTCGGCATTCGATTATAAATGTTTCACTTTGTTTTTCAGCATTCGCGAGGTTATTATACAGCATACGTTTACTTCTACACAAAAAGCAACACAACAGTAGTCGACATTTCGGCAGAATCGACACAGCTTGGAAGGGTATATGATGATATGCAGTATACTACGTTAAACGCTTCGGTAACATATACAGAAAGATGAAAGCCTGCATAGTGATCATATGGTCAAGCTTCTCGAAAAACTCAAAGTTGCATATGGTTGGCGACTGCACCACCTAACATCAAAAGCCGATGCCAAGGTACGGGGCAAGATCACGTGTTTTGCCTGAGCATTCCTCCCTGCTATTCTATTGATTGCAGGGTTCTTGGCACTTATCCAGAAAGTCTCATGAATTTTGCGCGTTGGTGTTTAAGCAATCTGTACGAGGAAAGTGACTTTTATGTCAAAATCGTCTACGCTATGCTTTTGTATCCTATGCGTCTCTAGTGAGGTACTTTGTCTTGTTTGCCATATAGGTGTTTTTTATACAGATACATAAAGGTTTACCCGTTTTGTCAATACATTCATCTTCGCAAACATTACAAAAGATCAGGCATATCGTACTTGAACTCATACAGTCACCGTCCCCACCATAAGGGCAAATTCAGCAATTTTGTGTTTCACATAGATGATCACACAGCCAGATCTAGAGCAACTGCGACAATTGAAATTCCACCAGATACTTTTCATCATCGGTTAGTTGGTAACCGCATCTGTAGAATACACAAAAAAACTTATCAATACCGTCTCTGACGCAAAGTTCTCTTTTGGAGTTGCCCAGTGTTTTATTTTTGATTACCTGCTGCCAAGCTGGTTACCTGTTGGTTGTGGCATAAGATTCATTTTTCGTTCCAACACAGATTATAGCAAAATCGGGAGATAGATTTTTATTGCTTAAGATAAACGCAGAACAAACTTTATTGCATCGTTGGCGTCGTTACCAAGCGAATTTATTTTTACTTACTTGGTACGTAATACTTGAATGGCCCGTCTTTAGTGGTTGTGCGGCCCCCAGCACAATCTCCATTTTTCGGAGATTTGCTGGGGAAGCCATTATAGTTCCCTGGAGTCCCGAGGTCAGTCTGGCCAAAGTCTGCCTCAGGCCTTCACCACCACGGACAGTCGCAGCTCTTGTGGATCGGAGGGAGATTTACCACCATGCGACTTTGATACCACTACGGTAGTGGATCTAGGTATTGGTTAACTCTTAGCTAGGTTTCCTAATGGAAACGCCAGACTCCTTTTCAGATTGGAAGACTCTTCCAGGAGACCAATCCCCAGCTGTACATCGCAGCTCGACACCCAGGAACACTTCTCAGCCACGCTTCCGCTCCGGACCAACCAAGCCTCTCATCTCTTAGAGGCCGAGAAATTGGTGCCGAACTTGTCCGATAAAAAATCACTTTCTGCAGTCCAATTGCGATCGCTCCACCTCGACTATCTCAAGAAACCAGGGAGAAGGGACTCGACCAGCATTCTACGATATTCAAGATGAAATGAAAATCCTCAAGCAGCAGCTGAAGCCACACGTAAAACTTGGAAGATTTTCATGGACAATGGATGCGAGGAAACGAATCGAATGTGAGAAATGCTGAGATTCACACAGTAGATGTGAAAACGGGTCATATAAAAAAAAGTAGACTCAGGAAAAGAGCAGTGTCTGCTAGAGTTTTTGTATATTTCTAAAGAATTAACGAATTTTATAAATACAACGAGCACCATGAAACGATTATTGACTTTTTTCACTGAGAGTTCTCTTATTAATCCTATGAGGACGAAGTCACGAAAAATTGTTAACTTTTTCGTCGCCGAGTTTTTTTCTTGACGTGTACAATTCCTATGCAATAAACATGTATAGCTCTATTGGGAACGGAGAAAGTCAACATTCCTGACCTTCTCGACCATTGGACACAGTTTGCGTTGTGGCAAAGACATGAGGATGTGGACTCCATAAAGCTAAAATACGTACGTACCTGCTTTGTATTTTGGCCAGTCGTCTTTGGAAATTCGGTTGTCCTCATATATAATGTTATAGTAAGCGAAGATGAGTCGTATAGGTTCAGCTCGTCCACGTGCATCAAAATAATGTAGCGTATATGAATGTTTCTGGTTGGACATCTATAAAATTACGCAGATTTCACTAAGAATTGTATTCATGGATGATGGTGCAACAATTTAGAATGAAGAAATATGAAATAAATCGTAGGAGTTTTTGAAAACTTTATTCTAAGCGATGTTGCGATGTTTATGTTATGTTTTCCCAGTGTGATTTACGCTATCATTTAGAGTTTATGATTTAATTCAATGGAAGGAAAGTAAGGAAATAATGAAAAGGAAAAAAAAGGAATAAGGAAAGTAAATGAAAAACAGTTAAAGTGAAGTAAGTAGTAAGTAAGTAAAAAACTGTTTTAGATCACTCTATTACGAAAAAATCGACTGTGTGATTGCTGTGGATCAAAGGCGTTCGAACAAAAACATTACTAGATAGTGTGCTGAAAATAGTTTCAGCAGAAGCAATGGAAAATGTCATCCAAAGTAACCGGAAGTAGAATGAATCTACATAATGTGTGTTGCCCTTAGAAGACCCATTGTGACATTCAGTTTGGATTGTTGATGTAAATTACAAAGCGATTTTGTCGCTGACAGCGAGAATTTCCAGAAGAGATAGAATGGATCCGAAGGACTAAACAGGAATGATGGTGCGGTTACTGATGAAATCCTTACATGATGAAGCTTTCGTCGTTATCGATACATTTTTCCAACAACGTGAATGACATTTCTATACATTTTCTTAGTGCTGAAAAAAATCATACGGAAGCACATGCAATGAAGCAAATACCCATTGCCAACTAAGCAGCTACCTACGTCTATCTGCTCGGTTTCCATGGTAATGCTCAGATAATACCTGGATATTTCATCTTCGCAAGTCTTTCAGTGTCTAGTGCAATCCTCATGTAATGGGCATTTGACCGAACGGGTAAAATCTTTTTCGATGAAGCACTGAGATGACTGCGTTCTAACAATTCAATGTCACTGTCGCAAGTATTTGCCGAAATTTGTTGATCGCAGTGATGCTCACCACCTTGAGATTAAACTGTTTCAAGAATGGTGGCATATTCGGGGAATATTTACTAGTAAGTGATCATCCGGAAAGAAACGAAGAGGTTCTTCTTGTTTGACTCAATACGCTGATAGATGAGCCCCAGTACCTGTATGTCGCAGTTCAACAATGCCCACCACTTCGATAGGCGTGAAACCATTTTTTTTTCTAAAGATTCGGTTAATAAATCAAACACAACTATTTTAAGACTTTTTAAAATAAGTGGTAGGTAACCTGTAGGAAAAAATCTATTTATGTCTTCCATAGTCGGCTGTGTCTAGCAAATAAAGTGAAAAATTTTAGAGTTACGCGAAAAAAGCAGGCGTAGGAAGAACAGAAAAACCTTCTGAAGTTTTCACTATGGAAATTCACCAAGCATTCAGCTTGCTGTCAACAACTACTTCGATCCTTCGATGGACTACTCGAAGGAATCGTCGCAGTTCTAGAAGAATCGCGGTCCTAAGTACGAGAACTAGCACCGGTTATCCCAAGAGGTGAAGAAACCCAACATGAGCTCTCTTCGATATGCCAAAGTGAAAAGGTGCCAGATCTTGAAATCATAATAGAACTCATATGCTTGATGCGGTTCTTTAGACAACTGCACGACCACAAATTGAAGAAAACAAGTGCTGCGTTATGTATAATTTGCGTCGTCGGACCATTTAAGTAACGAAGAAGCAATGAAAGCAATTCACTTAAAATATTGAACTTAAAAAACAGTTTACAGAGAACGCATTTGGTGAGTTGCTGAAAATAATTCTCGAAGAATAAGAAGACTGTTTAGCACAGTGTCACCAGTTAGATGTTCGTATGCCAGTACATATGAAATGTTCGATTTTATATCGTCTTCGTGGGTTCTCGTTAGAGCAAACCGCTAAGAATCACATCTTCTTTTAGAGTTTTCATGAAGAACTCTGACCATCGGGTCGGTGGTCATCCTGCAGTAGGTTTCACATTTCGAGAAGTGCAGTAGCTAACGGCACTTATCAATCGGTTGTCGTTCATAAGTGTTGCAAGTCTAGCCAACATTATATTCGACAATTTAGCTCGTAGAACGCGTCATTGATTTCTGATTGTTGACCAGTTCTGAGCTTCGGATCCCTTCACTATGGGGTGCTCCAAGCATCGTCCTTTTGGCTACACATTCAAATACGCTGAGTGACGTTTCATTCTGCTTAAGTTACCACCAGTTTACCTACGCACACGTTAAGGAAGGAGCAATCGTGGAGCCAAGAGCCAAGAGGGTGGATACGAAGTCGGATGCTCTTGCTCTCTTCATTTCATCTTCGGCGCTTTTGAGAGCTCCTTAAACCACTTTCTTCACTCTGCTCAACTTTGGAGCTAGGCCACTCAAGCTTGCTTACTTCACCACCCTAATAGATGTAGCTGGAGCATTCGTAGATATTCATTCCGTTGAGTGTGAATAAGGCATAGGAAACCAATTCGTTCTTCGCAGACACCGTTTTTGTGAGGCTTATTCGAAAGCCAATCTTTCCACAGGCGTTATCAAAGTCAGCAGGCATTCGTGGTACCTGACTAATACTTGGTGTTGTAAGAACGATGCCATCGGCAAAGCGAAGATGGTGTTATTGGCGTCCTGTGGTTTTCACTTCCATGTTGTCTGCTTATAGCGTTCGCATGACGTTGTCGAGGGTGATGGTAAATAATTTTCGCGAGATGGTATCGCCGTTCCTTACCCCTCTTTTGACGTCGATGTTAACAAATGTTTTGAGTTATTCAATGACCAATCAGAGCACACTAAGTTTACCTTAGCGAGACCGAAAGAAATGTGGTTTCCATTTCTTAACGTTCAAATTAATCTATCTGAGAACGGCTATGTAAAGAAATAGTACCGAAAGTCAGGTAGCAACTTTCTTTTATGAAGGACGACTTTCACTCTTTCATTTTTCATGGCGCTAACGTGAAGATTTCGATTGAGCCGATCGTATTCCTCGTTGATGTTACTAATGTCGTCATTTTCCCAACAGCCACTAATGAAATCAACAAATCCCAATTTGTGGTGGTTTTAAGACTTCGTCTTTTGAATTTGACCGCTTTTCGTCCTTTCCATCAGCAATGGAATCTCGCAAAAAAACGGCTGATCCAATGATTTTGGGTCAACAACGACATCGATTAGGCAAAACCTTCGATTTACTGCTGTTCAGTCTATCCCGTTATGTTATGCTTCATTGGAAGACTTTTACGCCTAGCTTTGAACGTTAAAATCTCCAAAAACAACCTTAAAAATGTATGGTCTAGAGCTTCTCAAAGTGCATTTTGGAATGCTCTGACTTAAGTGTCCACTGTTTAGAGAACGCTACCTCGGCTGGCATTATCCAGGCAGTCTAAAGTGGAAATGATAATCTCGCAGTCTATTCTTGCTCGTCCTACCCAACGCTGCCGTGTTCCTCATGCAGGGCTATCTGTCGATTAGTGCGAGGCAATGTGGCTTGTCTCCAGGTGGCAAATAGGGTGTAATTGCGGACTAAGCGCGAACTTATTTCTATCTGAGACGGAGTTCTATGCAGGGCCGTAATCCCTGCTTCTGTTGTTTCTGTTTAGCATATACCTTTTGTGCTTGCAAAAAAGTATTTATGCATGTATGAAATGATGCGTTCTCGGCTATATCGATTGTATTCCACGGGTCTGCAAAACAGGGAAGCTACCGTAATCGTGCTCAGGCTCTATGTTCAAAGCTCAACAAACTGTACGTAGATTTCAAAAGCTGGACACAGTAAAATGAGTGGTTTTTGAGTGATAATGAGTTTCTTTGTTTGGTTATGGAGGCGTCTGGCCGATGTGCAAAGCTGTGTTCAAAGTGATTGAAATCTTGGTTTGGAGTTTCTTTGTTTGGTTATGGAGGCGTCTGGCCGGGTGGTTCTATCAACTTGTCCTTTCCTGGCTCTGAAGAAGGCGAAATCCGCCGAAACGTCAGCTTAATCGTGAACAAAGAATAGTAACACCTCGCGTTTGCTCAACAAAAATACGAGTAAAATGAGTGGGTTTCATTCCCTTGAGTCCGAAGTAGCTCCAGATACAGCAACGTTGATGGGTAGATTTATAAACGCTCTTTTTGTGAGTGGGGAGTGAGAGGAGAGCTAATGAACAAGGGAAATCGTGATTCGATCTGGCCCGAGGTCAGAGTTTTGCGAATATTTTAACATCTTTGTGGTTTATTTACACCATTTTCGTTCTGCTAGAGCAGCACGGGTAGAGCAGTGATCGGAGAGGCTCTCGAATACACACAGGATCGGTCCTTGCGCCCCAGGTTCACCAAGCCTTTAAACATTCCGGGGCCGCCACATTGACACCAAATGTGTATGGAAAGGTAGGAGCACTTGATCGATATATCGGTATGTCACTGCGAGCCTTTGTAAAGGCGAAATATGCATTCACTCACCTCCAACGATACTTAATCAAGTCGAATGCATGGCACATTCTTCAGGGATTAATCGACGGCGACAGCTTTATCCTTTATCCTTTATTTGTTGTTTTGCTGAGTACATCGTCCTTGTTACACCAAGCATAGTCAGGCGGATCGAATGCCTGCTAACTTTGATAACGCCTGCTAACTGTGGAAAAATTGGTTTTCGACTATATCTCCCAAAAACGATGTTCATGAGGAACGGATTACTTCTGTACGCCACATTCACGCTAAATGAAATGAATGTCTCCGAACGCTCCAGCTACATCTATTTAATCCGAAAAATAAAAATGATGAATAGCTTAACTCCAGAGTTCACCTGTCACCTGCCACCTGTAGTTCCGTCGATCGTCGAGTGACTCGAGCGGGCGCCATTAAATCTTCCATTTTTCCCTGTCGCGTGCAAGAGCAGCCTAGTGGGTTCTGATCGCTCTAGAGACTCGTTGAGCATCATATGTTTCTTCAAGCCTCTTTGTGAAGAACTCTGACCATCGGGTCGGTGGTCTTCCTGCAGTAGGTTTGACATCCCGAGGAATCCAGTCACTAATGGCTCTTGTCCATCGGTTGTCATTCAGACGCATTAACTGTCCGGCC